TGGCTCTGCTTTGGATGAAGTTGAACTTGAACCAGCGTCAGAGGGCAAGGGCATTGGAGTGGGCCCTTGAAGGATGCGTAAGCTGCTGAAGTAGGAAAGGGCTTTCCAGGTCAACTGCTTTCCTCCCTGAATCCTTATCTTCCCTCTTGTCTGAGGAAGGCTCTAAAACTATGCCAAGTTACTTAACAAAATTTCTGAAGCTGAAACTACTAAGAGCTGCAGCAATCACCTCTAGAGAATGTGGTGGCGTGACACGTGAATCAACCAACCTGAACTACCTTGATTTCTCTTGAGAGTTTGTCTCTTCCATCTGCCTACCCTGCACCAGCTGGGTTGAATCTTGGAGTTCCCTTTCTATTGAAGTGCAGCCAAGCTGGGTTTTCTTCTTGTAACTTTTTTCTTGATCATTGCAATGTATTTTCCCACTTGCTTTCATTGCTGTAGTTCCTACTCATAGCAGTGTTTTTGTTTAGTTTTTCTAAATCCCTAGTCTTGGTGGTTCAGAAAGTGGGCAAGCCAATGTTTGATTTTCCCAAGTCACAGATCTGATTATGTTAATCCTTTGCTCAAACACCTGCAATGTGATTGGTGCTTAGAGATTAAAAAAGAGAACTCCTTCCTGTTTCCTCTGAGGATCTGACCCCCACCTTCACACCTGAGCCTTTCACACACTGCAATCCAGCTCTCTGGACGCTGGTTTTCTCCCCACCAGCACCTTTGCTTTCCTGCCTCCATGCCTGTGCCTGTGCTGTTCCCTATCCCTAGAATCTCTTTCCCCAACCCGGTCTCTTCATCCCCTTATTCTTCACAATCTGCCTGCCTTCATGAAGCCTTCCTTGATAGCCCCACCTCCCACACCAGAAGTATTATATCCTCTCTCTCAACCAGAATTCTATATTGACGTTTACAGATCAACAAAGACCCTCTCTGAATGAAAAGATGTATTCCTAATTTTGCATGGACCCAAGTTGCCAGCTTGAGATCAACCATGGTAATTTATACCACAGAAGTCAGCAAATACTGCAAAATAGTACTCAGGTTTTTTTTTTTTTCCATGTGAAGGTGAATTGGACCCTGCTTACATGTGTATAGGTGTGTATGTCACCATTCACACACATGTACACACAAATATTTGACACACTATGAATGTTGTACAGCACAGTCAAAACTACACTGTAGTTCAGCAATCTTTGCTCATTAGTCTATTAGGGAAACCCATGTGGCTAGGAAGTGTCTCTTTTCATGCTCTGGTCCCATCCTCCCCTCTTCTCAAGTGCTAGAATTATGTTACCTATGCCCCTACCCTTGCTTTTGTTTCTCTGACTCTGGCAAACTTCCTGGAATCAGGGCTCATACACTAATTGACGACTCCGGGCATCTGCAGTTGCTCAAAGTTCACTTTTTGAAGTAAAGAATATTGGTCTGCCTACGCAGATGTCGGTAAATGATCTCCTGTTTCTGTTCATAATTGCTGTTTTATAAATTGGTGAAATGCAGGCACTTAGGCGCCCGTGTCAGAAGCAGAATTCTGCAAACCGCTGTCTGTGAGTATACCTGCTGCAGGTTCGTTTTTTTTTTCCTGCTGGTCACTGCCTAGCGCCAGCCTTCAAAACCAGCAAGAACAAGTTCCAGTGTTTTTTTGGGGACAGTTGACCTCTTCTGGACACAGAAGCCAAGACCAGATGACTTGGAGCATAGACCAAGAAGGAAAAAGCAAGCCCAGAAACATGAGGCAAAGTATGGGTCAGGACTAGAGGAGCTGGTAAACAGGCACCCATGCCAGCAGTGGAGGTAGAGTGACAGCACATGGGAGGGAGCACAGTGAAGTGGGGCTGGGAGGAGAGAGGCAAGGGATGGTAGAGATGCGAGAGGCAGGGGTTTGGACAAGGTCCCTTAGCAGGAACTTGACAGCCCCTTTTCCAAGCTCTGCTCTCCTCCCACCAGCTCACAGCTCACCTTCCTGCTGGGTTGGGTCTGGCAAGAGTTAGAATGCTGGATGGCAGGAAGAGAACTGTTGTGGCTATGAGAGAGTTATAGGGTCTTTCCTGCCTTTAGGAAGAAAAATGATTATCTTCTAGCTTGAGAGCTGCTTTTAAAACTCCATGCTGTGGCTCAGTGGCTGCTGCCTGTCTGCTGCTAGGATTACAGGTGTGAATGTGCCTGACACAATGCCTGGGTCAGAGGGGCTTAAGGAATGTTCACAGTCATCAGATATTCTCCTGGTAGAGTTGAAAATCGCCTGCCCTCCCCACCAGCACACCATGTAACGTTAGCTGTATCCACACTTCATGCACATATTGATTATTTAGAAAAGTATACAAGTGGCCAGGCATGGTGGCTCATGCCTGTAAATCCCAGCACTTTGGGAGGCTGAAGCAGGCAGATCACCTGAGGTCAGGAGTTCAAGACCACCCTGGCCAACATGGTGAAACCCTGTCTCTACTCAAAATCAAAAATTAGCTGGACATAGTGATAGGCACCTGTAATCCCAGCTACTTGGGAGGGTGAGGCAGGAGAATCACTGGAACCTGGGAGGTGCAGTGAGCTGAGATAGCACCACTGTACTCCAGCAACAGAGCGAGACTCCGTCTCAAAAAATAAATAATACAAAAAAGTATACAGGCAATGTATTGGTTAGGGGTGAATTATTTTTTGGACAACCTGTGTTCTTCTTGCAGGAGTCCTTTCCTATCTCTTGGACTTCCAATGTGAGTAGCTTTTCATTTTTTTCCTTTTGAAATTTATTTATGATTTTATTCATTACTTCATTTGCTGCCACTGGATGATTTCTTCAGGAGCCTAATTTTGCTGGAGAAATTCACAGCTGGTCTTGTTGGAGCGGGGCTTCTGTGTGTGTGGTGGCAGTGAACTCGGGAGAAATCACAGGGCAAGTGAAAAGATACCTTGGCTTATCAATCAAATTTATCTTAATATACTAAATTGGCTTTACATTTTGTTGTTGTTGTTGGTTGTTTCTTTAGAGTCTCCCTCTGCTGCCCAGGGTGAAGTACAGTGGTATGATCTGGGCTCCCTGCAGTCTCCACCTCCCGAGTTCAAGCCATTCTCCTGCCTTAGCCTACCAAGTAGCTGGGATTATAGGCACCTACCACCACAGCTGGCTAATTTTTGTATTTTTGGTAGAGACGGGGTGCCATCATGTTGGCCAGGCTGGTCTCGAACTCCTGACCTCAAGTTATCTACCCACCTCAGCCTCCCAAAATCCTGGGATTATAGGCAAGAGCCACCACGTTCAGCTGGTTTCCCTTTTTAATCATTAACTTTGTAAAAAGGGTCCTTGCAGTTGTACAACTTTGGAAGAAGGGTGTCTATTTCAATAACAAAAACTGGCTTGGGAGTGGAGCTGGGCGAAGGGCCGGCAGCCCAGTGACACAGGAGGCTGTGGTGCTGGTCCTTTCCTAGTGGAGTTGCTCTTGGGGCTGTGCACATAGGCTGCTGCTGTCAGCACCCACACCTTGCAGGATACTGACTTGCTTAGAGAAAAGAAGAGCAAGAGAGGTCCACACTCAACGTGAGCCTGTCGCTCTGACCTGAACACAGCAGTGAAACACTGAAGGAACTTGTTCACAGGCTCAGGGACTCGAGGCCTCCAGTTGGTTTTCATTGTGCCAGGCCTGCTGAGTGGACCCATGGTTGAGGAGGCTGCCTCCCCATGTGGAGCAGGACTGGCAGCCTTGCCCTCCTGAGAACCCCCCACGAAGGGCCAGGGCCTCAGATGAGCAGTCATTAAAGGGCTCTTTGAGTTTTCTGCTGGCCGGGTTGGTGAACGGCCTGAGCACCCTGCATCAGTTCTTCACATTGCTGAGTTGGGGTGGGATGGGAGAATCCGCCCTACAGTGGAGAAGAAGACTGGTCTTTGGAGAGGGTTCGTAGCACCAGCACCAAGAGTTTAGCTCGGGGAAAGGGGAAGAAAGGAGAAAGGGAAATTATTGTAGTCTTGCAAAGTACAATGTAAAGAAAGTTTGCTTTTCTTGTTTGATTTTTGTAACTGCAAAGGCTCCCGTGGCCCTTGGGTCACTGCAAGGGTCTCTGGTCATGTAAATGCTGCTGTGTGCTGATGGTTCTCCTTCAGATTGACAAGGGGCAGTACAGAGTGTGGCATGCAGGATATGCTTCCAATAGTGGCAAATGACCACAGTCTCTTAGAGAAAAGCAAAATTGGATCCATGGAGGTGGGGCCAAGACCTTCAACCAAATTAGTCTAGAGAAAAGTTATTTTTAGAAATCCAAGTAAAGTAATTAAAAATAAAGACGAATATTTGCTTTATGCTTGCTTCCATCTAACTGCTCGCCAAAGGCAGCCAGGTGGTGTTGGCCGGTGAATACCGAAGAGCCCCAGGCTTGCTCCTGGAGTTGTGGGGCAGGGACAAGTCTCTTGTGGTCATGGTGTGGCGTTGCTCAGTTTATTTGTGGAAATACAACTGAGATGAATAATTTATCCATGGTAAATGTGAGTGAGACTAACCTGCTTACCCCTGCAGTAAAGCAGGAAGATAAGAAAAACAGGATCTAAATAGAGGATGGGCTTTTAAACCATAGATATGATTTAGCTTTGAGATTTGAGAGAAGTTTTTATTCTCTTTTGAAATTTCAGAATAATGATGGCCATAGCATGGTGACCAGCACATAGTAGGTGCTCAGTAAATAATTATTGAATTGAATTGTTTCCTACCATAAAATGGTACATGCTTATTATAAAAATCCAGGCACTTCTAGTAAAAATAACCCAACCACTTTGCATTTGGGGATGTATCCTTAAAGACATTTCCAATGCATATAAATATATACATTTTTTTTTGCAAAAACAGCATCATGTTATACATGTTATGTTATATATGATGCTTACTACATCTCCAGTTTAGTAAGCTGGATTCTTCAATTTAGAGCACACAGTGACATAATGCAATGTGTTGTGTAAGGAAGGATGTATCTGCTTGTGTAGTTTAAGACTTGACAAATCTCTTGTGCTGTCCTTTATTTAGCAGGTGTCTTCTGCGGAGGTGCGCATCGGGCCCATGAGACTGACGCAGGACCCTATTCAGGTATGCCTCCTTTATTCAGCCTTGTGACTCAGATTGTTTTCTTTTCTGTTCTTTTCTTTTTTTTTTTTTTTTTTTTTTTGAGATGGAGCCTCACTCTGTTGCCCAGGCTGGAGTAAAGTGGCTCGATCCTGGCTCACTGCAACCTCTACCTCCTGGGTTCAAGTGATTCTCCTGCCTCTGCCATCCGAGTAGCTGGGATTACAGGTGTGTGCCACCACACCTGGCTAATTTTTGTATTTTTAATAGAGATGGGGTTTTACCATGTTGGCCAGACTGATCTCAAACTCCTCACCTCCCAAAGTGCTGAGATTATAGGTGTAAATCACTGTGTCCAGCCTGATTCAAATAGTTTTCTTGAAGACCTAAACATTTCCCCATTTTGAGTATAAATATGATGGATAGATCGCATGGTGAATCGTAAGAACAACTCTTCCATTCCAAAACTAGTCTGTTCCACATCCTGCTACAGCCAGAAGGGAAGATGCAATGAAATGGTGAAGGGCTGGGTTTTGCCATGAGTCACAACTGGGTGGGAATCTTGGCTCTGCCTTTAATTAGCTGTGTGACCTTGCATATATTGCTTCACTCCTCTGACCTAGTGTCCTATCTGCAAAATGGAGATGATTATGCCTCGGGGAATTATAAGTTAAATGAGATAGCATAGGGTGCCTAGAACATTCTTTGGAAGTTATCATTAATTGAGAAGATTCTTAGTAAATGATAGCTATTGCTGTAGTATGGGAATAGAAGATGATAAAATGCTCCCCTGCTTCTCCCATCTGACTTAAGCCAAACAACCTCCTAGGCTCTGTAACACAGCAGGAACTGGCATCCAAGGATACAAGCCCAACTGCCTGTAGGATTGACTTCACTCTAATAATAGCAGCAACTCTGTCCTTGCCGCCCTTCCAGGTTCCTGTGCCCCCTTGAGAGAAACATATGAAAATGGAGTTTGTACCCTTTTAAATAATTTCCAAATCCTTATCTGCATACAAGCCATCCTGTGAGGCCTAAATAAGTTAACTTCCTCCTTGTAAAAACTGTAGCTTGTTAGCACCTGGAATCTCGTCTCATAGGTAGAGACAAGTAAAGATGCAGGAAAGATGTAAAGAAGCCAGCCAACATATAGATGAAAGTGAAAAACCAAGCAGGGAAATGTGCTATTTGATTTATGAGCAAATGGAAAAAGAAAATAATGTTTTACAGTTGCTTGGAAAAAGAAATGCAAATCTAGGGAAAGGGAAAAAAAATAAAAGGAAGAGATTTAGCTTGGGAAAATTTGATGAAAACAAATTTAGGAGCAGAGAGACAGAGAAAAATAAACACCAGCCACAACTATTTGTATAGAATACAAACAAATGGAAAATTTCAGTAATCATTCTGAGCCATGTCCCTTGTACTCCAATTTTGAATAAAGGCAATAACAAATAAAGGAGTTGATATCAAGGACTTATTCTCAAACAATTTCCAGAATACTTGTTGGGATTAGTATGGTTTTAGATTGATTTCATTTACCTTCATTTTTGCCCTTACCGCACTGACAATGAATGCTCATGGTAAGGATGTCTCATTCTTTTAAAAATATAGGTTGTCAAATGTTAAAATATTTCACATATTCATAAAGGTACATGTGTGTACCAGACACCCACTTCTATCAAATATTAATGGTATGTCCTATTTGTTTCAGTTTTTCTCAGAAACAAAAGACTGTAGATACTGTTTAAGCCCTTTATTTATCCCTTTGCTACCCTTCCTTTCCTCTCTAAAAGCAACCCTATGATATGTATTTGTATACTCACTCTTAGTATGTTTGTGTCCATTAATAATATGTACATTTGTTTTGAATGTTTTTGAGTTCTGTTTGTGCTATAGGCATCATTCTTCATTCATCAGTTGGTGTTGTATCTAAGAATTTGTTGCATAAGCTAAGGTTGTAAACATTGATCTCTTTGTTTTCCTGTAAGAGTTTTATAGTTTCAGATCTTATATTTAGCTCTATGATCCATTTTGGATTAATATTTGTTTATAGTGTGAGGTAGGAGGTCCAGCTTCATTTTTATCTAGTTGTCCTAGCATCATTTATTAAAAAATATTCATCTTTCCCTCATTGAATTGCCTTGGCATTTTTGTCAAATATCAACCATAAATGTGAGGATTTACTTTTGGGCTCTCAGTTCTATTCCATTGATTTATGTATCTGTCCTCATTGCAAGTACCATACTGTCTTGATTACTGTAACTTTGTAGTAAGTTTTGAAGTTTGAGTCTTCCAACTTTAGTCTTATTTTTTCAAGATTATTTTGACTATCTGGTCCCTTGTATCTTTGTATGAATTTTAGGACCATTTTGTCCATTTCAGTGGGGAACATTTTGGGGAGCCAGCTGGGACTCTGATAGGGTTTGCAATGAATCTATAGACCAATTTCAGGTGTATTACTATGTTAACAATTTTGTTTTCCAGTCTGTGACCATGAAATATCTTTCTATTTTGCAGGATCTTGTATCCTGCAACCTTGCTGAACTCATATTAGTTTTTTGTGACTATAGAAATTCTTATAATTCTAAGGATTATATATTATAGATTAAATTCCTGTAATCCTAAGGAAATCCCATAGAAATTGCATAGGATTATCTATATACAAGATCATGTCACAATATGGATACCTTTTTTTTTTCCTCTTGCCCAATTGCCCTGGCTAAAACCTCCAGAACAATAGTGTGTTTAGTTTAAGATACTTCTAGACCTTTTCCCAAAGTGCCATTTTACACTCATACAAGCAATATGAGATTTCTGTTTACTCTAAATCCTTGATAATATTTGATGTTGTGATTCTTTTTCATTTTAGCTACTCTGGTAGATGAGTCGTATTATCTTATTGTGATTTAAATTTGTGTTTCTCCATGACCAATGATGAGAACTTTTTTATTTGTTTATTGGCCATTCCTCTATTTTCTTTTGTGAAGTGTTTGGTCAAGTTTTCTCCTCAGTTTTTAATTGGGTTAATTTTTAAAAGTTATTGAGTTGTATGAGTTCTTTATATATTCTTGTTACAACTCCTTGGTCAGATTTGAGAACATTTTCTCCCAATCTGTGGCTCTTTTATTCATTTTCATAACTCTGGCTTTTAAATGATAATTTTTCATTTTGAAGCAGTCTAATATCACTTTTTAAAAAATGGTTATTGCTTTCTGTGCTTTTAAAAATCTTTACCTACCTGCAGATCAAGAAGATAATTTCCTGTTTTCTTCCAGAGACTTTATTGTTTTAACTTTTATTTTAGATCTATAATCTCTCTCAAGTTGATTTTTATGTATGGTGTGATATGGGTGTCAAGGCTGATCCCCCCACCCCACCATATTGATGTCTGGTTGTTTCCAGCTCCACTTACTACAAAGGCTATTCTTCCCTATTGTATTTCTTTGATGCCTTTGCTACTGATTTTTAAAAAAACATTTGTTGTGACTTGTTTGGTGGCCAGGTATGTAGTCAGTTTTTAGACTAATACTCCACAAAAAGTGCTAAAATGATGTATTCTCTGTTTGTTGACAGAGGGTTCTATTGACATGAATTAGTTCAACTTCATTAATCATGCTATTCAAACCATCTCTATTAATTTTATGACTTATTTTGTGACCGTGTGATCTATCAGTTTTTAATCACAGTGGATTTGTTAAAATCATCAATATCTGTTAATACTTGCTGGTATTTTGAGTGTGTTGTTAGGTGTATCCAAGTTCTTGATTGTTGTCTATTCCTGATGACTGTCCCTTTTATCATTATTTTAACCTTTCCCTTACGTTCTGTTTTATTTGTTGGCAATATTGCCAGGTCAGCTACCTTTGGTTAATATTTTCCTAGTATATCTTTCTCTGTATTTTTTTTCAGAAACAAAAGATAGCAGATACTTTGTAACTTTATTTTGAGTAGCTTCTTTTAAGCAGCATTATCATTTTTTTTCAATAAAAATATGGGAACCAAAATCTGTTTCTGTAATCTTTGTCTTTTAATAAGTGAATTAAATATGATTACAATGAGTGTGATTACTGATACAGTTGTTTTATTTTGTATTTTCTATTTATTAACCTTTTTCCTTTGTCTTGTTTTGGTATATTGTCAAGTTGGGAATGTTTTTGCAGTTAACATGTTCTTTCTCTAACATAGGTATACTTTTATTCTTTTAGTTGTTACCCTGAAATTATTATTCTTATTTTTTTGGGATGGAGTCTTACTCTGTTGCCCAGGCTGGGGTGCAGTGGCATGATCTCAGCTCACTGCAACCTCTGCCTCCTGGGTTCAAGCAATTCTTCTGCCTCAGCCTCCCAAGAAGCTGGGTCTGCAGGCACATGCCACCATACCTAGCTAATTTTTGTATTTTTAGTAGAGACAGGGTTTCACCATATTGGCCAGGCTGGTCTTGGACTCCTGACCTCGTGATCTGCCTGCTCAACCTCCCAAAGTGCTGGGATTACAGGAGAGGCACCATGCCTGGCCTGAAATAATAATGATAATAATAATAATTATTATTATTTTTGAGACAGAGTCTTGCTTTGTCACCCAGGCCGGAGTGCAGTGACCTGATCTTGGCATACTGCATCCTCTGCCCCTGGAGATCAAGCGATTCTCCTCTCTCAGCCTCCTGAGTAGCTGGGATTACAGGCGTGCACCACCACACTCAGCTAATTTTTTGTATTTTAGTTAGAGATAGGGTTTCACCATGTTGGTCAGGCTGGTTGGAAACTCCTGACCTTGTGATCCGATCCGCCTGCCTCAGCCTCCCAAAGTGCTGGGATTATAGGCATGAGCCACCACACCCAGCCTGAAATTACTTTTAATGTGCATGTTTAGCAGCCAAATTTTATAACAAAATCTCGCCATACTATCTTCCTTTCCTCTCAAACGTGATACAGTCCTTTGCAGAATTGAAATACCTCTTGACAGCCCCACTCTCCCACAAATGAAAAATACTTGTCTATAAATTTGAATTTATTATATTTGGCATA